CTATAACTGATTGGAATACCTAAAATGGGGCTACAGCGTACCCAATGAACGAGGCTTCTTGCAGAGCCTTTGCAATACATAAAACTATAGGTAGACATCTAAACCACATCCAGATCTCCAAAGATGAGAAATCTCCACTTGAAAGGACGAGACCAGCCTGGAGCGGCTAGAAGAACAAAGGATACTTCTTGAAAGAAAGACCTACAGGAAAAATACAAACCAATAGAGGCAGATGGACTGTTACTACAAGAACAAACAAATTGCTTCCCTAGCAAACTTCAAGGCAAGTGGTCGGGTCCCCTCAATGCAAACCCCCTTCCAAGACTAAGACTCAACAGAAATACACGCTCTGATTGGTGACCCACACGCATCACCGATAGGGGGAAATGGGGTAAAAGCAGCAATGAAGCGGCAAGCTAAGCCTTACAATGTTCAGTGGGCTTCTGTGGGGACCTGGTTGGCAAGCAGTGAGAGGAGACCTGGGGACTCTTGGGCCCAGAGTCAGTGGCGTGGCCACGGAGGACTCTAGTGGAGAGTGGAGCTACCAGCTGATGGGAAGAGAGGGCATGTGCACAAGAACGCCCACACTTGCAGATGGTACCCACATGACCTGGACTGGATGACTGGATGATCAGAGCTCAACCAGGAGAAGAAAGAAGAGGGGAAAAAAAGAGTGAGCTGATACAATCTGATGAACTTGACCTATACCTACGGATGCAGTGACTCAAAAGAAGGAACAAATCCTTACAGCAAGAAACATTCCCACCCCCTCCACACACAGAGTAGACAGAGATGGGCAACTTGGACATTGGATACCCAAGTTGGGGTGGGGGTGCGGGGGGGACAACTACAAAGGCAAGAAGTGACTGGCTTACAGACTTTCAAGAGGGAACCTAGATCCAGAGGGCCTGGAGGAAGGTAGACTCTCCAGTGAGTAGTATCCAATCTGACTGGGTGGGGCTGATGAAATGAAATACAAATGGGTAACTTGTGATACTATAGTGAATAGTGGTTATCAGGACTGATTATGAGGGTTGGAAATGTAAAGGTAGTTGTTTTGTAGCAAGGAAGGAAGTGATTAATCCTCTAGTCTAGGAGGGGAGGTCTCTAGGACCATCAATGGAGCACGGGACCCTACCCAGAGAAGCAGAGATGCCTGAGATGATGACGTGGAGTGATGAAGTGGCTGGGGACTTTGGATCCAGAGAGGGAGAGGGACTGAGCTGAAGACTGGGTGGGGAGGGGGGAGTGTAGGGTACCCTTTGGTCGGTTGATGATGCATGGAGGGAATTGGAACCATGGCAATGAAATGATATACGATGGAATGAATGTAAAACTAAAGTTCTCTCATGTAAACTATCATATAATTCACAATAAAACATTTTTTTTTTAAAAAAGTATATAAACCTGATGGAGGCGATGTCTAGAAATAATTGATTGTTTTGTTTACTAAAGGTTTCTGTGATTTTGTAGCAATCAATACTTTAGAACCAAATTAACAGTGTGATCTCCAGGCAGGGATTGGAGTTGAGGAAAGTACCAAAGGAAATGTTCTATTTCAGCTTTCTTATGTTGAACAAAATGTGTGTTACCATGTAACTTAAATTTTTAATTTTAAAATTAAAATAAAGAAGCCAATGATTTCTTTGAGGTCTTATCATTAAATGTTCAAGACCAAATCTAAGTGTGTCCACTGCTTCCTGTTTACCATCCTACAAAGTTCAATGGAGGGCAGCTAGGTGAATTATCGTCACTTGAACATGAGTATGCCTTTGGCCTTTCACATGTAAGCTCTAGCATATTTAAATTTGTTGCCTAACTCAAGAGCCATCTGGTATGTCCAAGAGACATGTCAGCTATTTGGTATGTGTGAGCAGAAGGCTTAACTATTCCTTGTTCTGGCCCACAGGAGGCCCTGGAGGCATGCCAGACTCGCATCTCCAAGATGGAGCTACAGCAGCAGCAGCAGCAGGTGGTCCAACTGGAAGGGCTGGAGAACGCCACTGCCCGGAACCTTCTGGGCAAACTCATCAACATCCTTCTTGCCGTGATGGCAGTCCTTTTAGTCTTTGTCTCCACAGTGGCCAACTGTGTGGTTCCCCTCATGAAGACTCGTAGCAGGACGTTCAGCACTTTATTCCTTGTGGTTTTCATTGCCTTTCTCTGGAAGCACTGGGATGCCCTCTTTAGCTACGTGGAACGGTTCTTTTCATCCCCCAGATGATGCTGGCACATGAAGGCAGCTGCTCACCTAGCCTCTGGTGAGTGCAGGCAGCAAAGAACAAGACAACTTAACCTACTCTGAGGTTTTCTACAACAGCAAAAGAGTTGAGTGAATCTGTTTACATTTAGAATAATGTTTTTTTCTTCAAGAGACACAATTGCAATAGTATTTTTTAGATTTTATCCAAGAACTTTTTTGGGCAAAAATCTTGGATCATTTTTATGTAGCATGATTTTCCTTGGGATGCAAATCTTAAACAGTCCTTTAACATGAACAACCAATCTGGAGCACTGAAGGGCACTCTAAATTGTGACTCGAATGTGACTGCACTCAAAACCCACTGAAAATTGAGAAACGTGAATAGGGCAGAGCATTGAAACCGAGCATCCTGCCGTGTCAGGCTCACCACATCGCCCCTTCCGAAACGAACTGTACTGTGAAGTCCTACCACATTCCATAGCTGAATTGTTGGATTCAGGGTGGATTTTCCTTGTCCGTGGAAGAACACATGGATCTCCCAACTTACCCAAGTTGACCCCTCATGCTAATAACCCTGGAAGTCTGGTCACTTTTGAACCTGATCCTTTAACCTTTGCTAGGACACAGAAGTGAGAGCATCGTGCCCCCACAGGATCACTGCACAGTCCTACCACAGTATTTTGAAGTAGCCCTTTAAATACTTAATTTTACGCAAAATCCTTTGGCCGCACTTTTAAGGTTTGGTTTTGTTTTTAATATGTGTATAGTCACCAATTTAAAAACAAAAAATCTGAACAGCATACTTGAAGAATGTAATTACTCAGACTCTCAGTGCTTCCTTATGGTTTCTAATAGGATTTTTTATTATTGTTATTAGTATTGGGTTTGTTTTGGTGTTTTGTTTTTTTTTTGAAAGGGTTGGGAGGGTCTTTTATTTTTTCTTTGAAATAAAGAAGTGATGTTTTTAAATGAAGAAATGTGTGGATACTTAAGTGTGCTGCTCCTTCATGTCTTGAAACAGTTGAGGAAAGTAAGATTTGCTGTAAATGCTGCCCTCTGTCGCCCTTGTTTTGAGATGCAGCTTCAAACCTCCCTCTGGCTGCTGCTGCTTTCCCGCGTCCCTCCACCCCATGGACCACTTTATGGGCTTGGCTTGCTTGGAGAGGAAAAGGGTATGTGGGGAGACGTGGGGCTGTTTCCACAAACCAGCACAGTAGAATAGGTGTTGAGTTGGAGTTTTTTTTAGTCCCAAGAAAATGTCTACCCAGTGACTTGAGCTGGGATTGTCTTTAGTTAAAACTGAGACTATTATGAGAGTCATAATTTCTTATGTTTCCTTAATTTATTGTTTAACACATCCTAATTACTGAAACCAAAGTGATGTGGAGTCTTCTGTTTGCATTTTGACCCCAGCATCCTTAATTTGAAAGCTTTATTCTATCTGCCTAAGAGGATTGACTGAAGGTGATTCGCCCTAATGAGCAGAAAAGGAAATGTCAGATTAGCAGGGCCCAAATCTTGGTCACTTATTAGTCTAGACTGCTTTATTAGCTTAAGTATGCTCGATGAACCTGTATAGACTATTGACTGAGCCTTCTTCATCCTATAATCAGTTGCATCATCCTGGTAGAACTGGAACTTTAGAGGTTTACCTTCTATTGTTTGTATGTAGTACTGGGTCACACCTGCTGTTCCCTCTTGGTCTCAGTTGGTGCAACCAAGTGGCAAGCAAAGGACATACAATATGTCCTGAAAAGTATAGCAAAGCATGTCTTACATATTTCCCCCATAGCAGGAAATGCTTTTGGAACTAGATGAGCATTGTCCTGTCTGTGTAAGACCTGTCTCTCTGTAAGAGAGTGGTTTGCAGGACAGCTCCAGCCTCCTGTTGCTTGAAGAGACTGGCCTTCTCAGAGTCGGCATGGTGTTCCCATAGTCACTTTGATATTTTAACTCAGGTACTCCCATCTTTGCCCCACCTCCAGATGATTGCAGTGCACCTATTCACTCTTTTGCCCCATCAGAATTAGCACCCAGAGCAGGGATCACATGGGTGATTTTTCTTTTACAATATAATTTCAGCCATTTCCTGTTCATGCCAAAAACAGATTATTCCCAGATTGTTTTAGTTCCCAGTCCTATATACTTAAAATGTTAACTTTTCCTAAAAAATTGCAGTGACCTTAGGCAGCAGTGCCAAGGGACCCTATGACCTGGTCCAGCTAGCACTTTAGCAAGATCACGCAGAGTAGAGATGGGAGCCCCCAGAGTTACTGAGAAGGCACTATAGCTGCAGCCCTCAGATTTCCTTAGAGCTTCTGAGTCCTGAGCTGTATGGAGGCTTCCGTGTGGTGGGCACTGTAAGATGGATTGAAATTGTCCTCATTCACCTTGGCACCATCTCTATAAAGAGAGGTTTTGACTTCTATGAGCTCCCAGCCAACCAGGCCCACATTGTCTTTCCTTCTCCTTTCTCAAACTGTCTTAGGAAAAACCTCTAGTCCAAATGAGGCACAATGATGACTTTCTAGCTCCCCTGTCCCCTTAATTGTTGACTGGGCCCAATTGTTGTCTGCATTTAATGCTTTGTAACCCTGCAACTCTTCTTGCCCTGTCCCCACTTTGTTTGTCTGCTGTCCATCCCAGTTGCTTCTGAGGTTTTTTTGCATCACGTCTATCTTAACTTTCTTTTTTTCCATCTTAAATTCTTTTGCCTAATGAAGAGAACCTCATTCTAATGGTTTTTTAGCATTTGTTTTATAATTGGAAACTTACCTAGCTTTACTGCTTTTCTCTCATAATGACTGTCTACATTCCCCTGAAATGAAGCATTCCTGGATTACTTGCAAGTGCTGGTGGCTATCCTGCGTGTGTGAGCTAGCTGGGTTGGCCTGGATGACTCTGTTCAAATTGTAGAATGACTAACATTTTACATTTTTATAGTTCTGCCAACCAATTTTGATTCCTTGGTATACGAGGGTTAAGTCAGAAAGTATTGCTACTGAAGTTTCAATTCATACATGCACAGGTTTTTTCCAAACAAAGCCTGTTTAAACAGGTCTGTGATCGGTGAGTGGCTGTAGACAAGTTCTCTCAGTAACACACTTGTCTTAGTCTCATCAGGGTGACTTTAAAAAAAAAAAAAAATCTAAGCTAAACAATGGCTTCTGAGAGTATCTACTGCGCCTGTAAAATTCCAGGCAGAGAGTCAGCTCAAAAGGTTATGGTAACTGTTTTATGGGACTCCAAAAGGGTAAGCTTGATAGATTGTCTCAAAGGACACAGAACAATCACAGGGGCTTACTATGAAGAAGTTTAAGAAAACAGAAAACTGTAGTGACGAGAAAAAGGCCAGAAAAGTTGTGCCGAGGAACTTTTTCCCGTCGCAACAATGCACCTGCTTATTCTTCAAGGGTAGCAAGGGCTGTCGTATGAGAATTTGATTGGGAAGGCTTACCCCACCTACCCTATAGCGCAGATCTCACCCCTTCAGACTTTGCCCCCAAAACTCAAGAAACATTTCAAAAAAACATGATGTCAGTCCCTCAAGGATGCCCAAAGTGCTATTTTGATGTAAATCAAGACACACAGAACTCTATGGGTAAAGGTTAGAGAGATGGCAACGCCTCCTTCAGAAGTGTACAGACCTCGAGACACAATAGCTTCACATATGGATGTGTAATAAAGGTTTCAGTGATTGTGAAGCAATACTTTTTACTTACCCTCGTATATACTCATTGCATCCTAGTAAGGAAGGAAGCCTTTCTACCCCACTGGCACTTCAAAAAGCAAAAGTAAGTTGAATTCTACACTTCCTGTGATCTTCTCTCTCCTGTGTACCTCCGCTACCTATTTGAGGCAAAAATCTAATGGCAAGAAAAGTGCTGGGATCTAGCCTTCCTTGTTAGCCTATTTTCAAGTGAACTTCACTGCACTTGGTTTTGTTTTTGATACCACGTGTCTTTGCAGCACAGTCTGATGAAACATTGAATTATGAGTGAGTTTCTATGAGAAGCTAGCTGTCTTTCAGCTTTGGGAAATATGCATCCAAAACAAAACCAAACATTGTAATCAACAAACTGACACTGGGAAAATTATGCTTCCCACACACCCAACCCAATCCCAAATGAAGTTGGGGATCTCTGAATGTGGCTTTGAGAGTTCACATCTCTGTGTGTTGTGTATGCTAGGTGACAACCTCAGTAGGCTTCGACTACTAGACTGTAAGTGTGTATTATCAAAGTGTGTAAGAATAAAAACTCACATGCACGAATTGAAAAGTACAGAAATGACACTTGTGAACGTGTGAACGTTAACACTGTAGTTGATAGATCTTAAGCTGCTAATTGTTGAGAGAGAATTACATTTATGTTTTGTCGAGTTGCTGCAGATTCTCAAGCAGCACTTTTACTGTATATACAAATTGAAATAAAGACCTCAGCTATTAACATGGTGGTCAGACTCGGCTTTGTTTACTGTTTATCTTTGCATATTCTGTTTCCAGTATCAGGTATGTCAGTATGAAAACTTAGCACCATTTTTGTTTATTAGAGTCGGGGGGAGGTGTATTTACTTACAGCCAGTGTATCAAAACCATAACTGGTAGCTGTCATCATCCACTGGGGCTTACAGGCCATATTTTAGATCAGTACTTACCCACAATTCTTAAAAAATTTATTAGATAAGACTATTCTTTTGTTCTCCAGAGGGGCATAGAGGTAGTGTTTCCCCAAATTCAGCATCTATAATCCAAATATGGAGTCCTGGTGTGACACTATAGGATAACCACTAGACTGCTAACTACAAGGTCGGCAGTTTAAAACCACCACCTGCTCCTAGGAAATCCTATACAGGGTCACTATGGGTTGGAGCTGATTGGATGGCACTTAACAAGAACAACAAACAACCCTAAAATGGGAACAATCTTTTTGTCCATTCTTATAAAACTTTGCTAATGAACAAATTCCTAAATTACAAACATTCAAACATACGTAATTTACAAATTTCAAAACTTTTTTTAA